CTGGATTAAACAGCCAGGCTGCAGTGCGCTCCCCGCCATCCACTCATGCCTCCTGGGCAGCGAGAGGAGGCGCTAACCCTTACGATTCTCCTCCCCCTCCCCGGGTCGAGCCAGCGAGGGTCGGCAGCGGAGAGCCCTGCAGCTCGGTCTCTGGTCCCCCCTACTCGAGCGTCACCCTCTCGCCTCAAAGATCCTCTATGCTGAAAACAGTCATAAAAATGCAACAAGCAGATGGGCCTACAAGACCGTCTGCCAGTCACTTCCAACTACTCAGCTCCCATTCACAGCACAAGGCAATCAGCCAGCACAGGTGTTCACCGTCTTAGAAGAAGGGGCTTCAGCTGAGGCGTCGTGTTATCCCCAGCCTTCTCACTGCCAGGTTCCAAGATGGCGGAGATGCGAGACCTCCACCTCCTTCCTCAGCTCCAGCTCATTTTAAATAAATACAGACGCACGTTAAGTGCACGAAACCACGTCACCTCTCCCCGGACAGTCCTGTCAAACCAGAGGGGCTGTTTTCTTGGGGCTGCTTCACGTCTCCCAGGTTTGGTCGTGACCGGGCCACATGATCTGCTTTGTCACTGGAGTGCTGAATGTCTCCCCTGAGTTTGTGTAGCCGAAGTAAAAGTTTAACAGACACCGGTGACTAACATTTATTTATGACTCACTTTGCCTCCGTTGGAATCCCAGCCAAAGGCGACACCACCCCCACCTTGATGTCTGCCTGGGAGGTGGTGGGAGCGGGCACAGACCACCCTGCCACCCCGGTCACGCGCTGGGAGGCACCAGCGCAGTGCTCGCCCTCCATCGCTCCGGGCCGGCCAGCGAGCTGACTGTGGAGGGCGAGGTCGTGCCTTTCAGGCAAAGGTCTGGGGTTCTGTTCCAAGACTCCTCCCGTTGGAGGGGATCGGGCTCTGCCACCTGCCGCTGCCCTTCGGCGGGAAGGTTACTTTCTGTTTCATGGGAGACGTCAGGATGCTTCCAAAACCGTGTTCGCGCATCTGGCCAACGTCGTCCTTGCTGGGCAAACGTCAGACGCAACGATTAGTGCCTCAGGATGCAGGGCTTTGTGAGAAACAGAATCGTAAACCTGAAGGGCTAAGAGACGATCATTTGTTTTGTGGCATGCTGTTCATTCTTGGCCCAGCAGTTACATCAGGACGAACAACTTTAACATAAGCCATCGTGGAAGCAGATCTAGGAAATCCAAGACGCCGTCCCTTCAGCAAGACCCCTGACAGATGGACAACTTGCCTTTGTTTACTCACCCAAGATGGCGACTTCCTTCTGCGGCCAACGGAGGAATGCTGGCGGGCGGCCCACTGCTGGAAGGCTCTGGTGGTGGGTAACTCAGCCATATGTCCGTGTAGCCACCTCCCAGATGCCGCCGCGGGCTTCTGTGACCGCGGGACCGGAGTGGGTCTCCTTCCGCACCCACCTGCGATGCTCCCAGCGGCCACCCTCCCTCCCTTTGCTCACTCTCCTTCCAGCCCCTGGCCCTCCCGCTGGGATGAGCGGCCCAATGTTTTCTAGTCTCCCATTCAATGTAAGGTTTTAAATGATAGGATTACACTCACCTGGGTTTTAAATTATGTCAAAGAGGCCCTCTGGGAATTATGATTTCTTAATTAACTCATCGTCTTAAACCTGGTAATACTCTATAGTCACAAAATGGACTCAGAAGCAATGAGGCAGCATTTAAACCTGCGAGCAACGGCTCTGTAAGAGTGGGACTAACTCACAGGGCTGCCCCCTCAGGCCTTCGAAGTCGGTTGCTCTACATGGGGTTCCGACTCGTTGCTCTTATCTGAGCCTGTGGAGGGTCCCTTCTCAAACTCTCCGTCAGGTAAGCAGTCCCTCTGAGCCACAAGGGGCACAGCGGTGCCCGGCGGGGACGGAGCCCGAGGAAACACCAGGATGCCCACGTCCCGGGGCTTCAGCAGGCAGCACAGAAAACACACGATACGGCCTGTGCTGGAATCCTCCAGCCGCTCCTGCAGCATTCGGCACGGCCCAAGTTTTATCTAGACCTAAGAATTCTGCCTCTTCTGAGAGATTCTGATGTTTAAAAATAATTATGTAAAATCTCTTCCAGCCCATAATGTGGCCAACAGTGTTTATTTACCCGTGAAATATCTCAAACCTACAAAAACGCACAAGAAATGCACACACACACACACACCCCGCCTAGTCTAACAGGTGAGAACAACCCCGCGCTGGCCGTTCGTCTTCACGAACCATCACACGTTGCAGTGGGGGCTCTCACCGCCCCCCTCTCCCACCCCGTCTCCTCCTTCACAGCAGTGGCACTCTGTGGGATCTGGCCTGTGTGCCTTCCCCCTCCATGTTTACACGCCCATTCCACATGAACACACAGCATTTGAGGCATCATGTAAATGATACCACTTAGTCAATACCACACGGCAGTTTTTGTAAACATTACATCAGAGATTTATCCACGGGGGTATGTCTATATAAACAGTGCATCACAGAATTACACTGTGTGAATACGCCGCAATCACATATTTATTCTCCTATCATTTGGAATTTTGGTTTCCTTTTGTTTTCCTTTGTTTGTTGTTGGCATTATGAGCAACTTGACAGTAATGTTCCTCTGTATTTCCCTTGGGGATGTGTTCAAGAATGTCTCTAGGGGATAGATGTAGAAACAGCAAATTCACTTTAGGACTTCCAGGAATGTAAAATGAAGAACAGAATTTTCTCTAAGATCCTCTGAGATGATGTTATCTTGGCCTGAGGGCTGGTTGAAGAATTAAAAAATAAACACTTTTCAGAGAGCCTTTAGTACAACTATGAAGTCCCCTTTCAATTCCAACTTAAATCTTTGCATCGGCAAAGTGCTTGACATCATTATTAAAAATAAACAGTGATGGTCAATCAGGGACCAGTGAGGTTGGAGGGTCGTGTCTGACTCCCTGAGAACAGGGCTGTTGACCCTGGCTCAGAGGACCGGGCAGAGAAAGGAGCGGGTCGCGTTTGGGCAACAGAAACGGCGAGAGCCCCGTCCTGGAGCCCAGCAGGGCCTGCCCTTCTCTGGTTCCCCTTCTCCGGAGAACACGTCTTCACAGCGAGAAACCAGCCTCCCTCGCTTCCCCCACTCCCTCTCTCACCCAAGCCTTACTTACAACTGCTCAATCTGCCGAGACAGAACGTTCTCCTTTGAAATTTTTAGCTGCAGGAAAAGCCTTTTTGCTGGTTCTAAACCCCTGCTTTTCTTCTCCTCGACCTTCCCCAAGCTCCCTTCTTCAAGTACCGTGATACCCTGAGCTCCTTAAACTGCTCTGAGGCAAGGTCTGCAGAAAGGGGTAGCTGAACAACAGGTCCACAGAACGGCCGCTGTCTCTCCTGGGGCAGGCCAAAAAAGCAAACCCAGCCCCGCGATTTTCTTGGGAACCACTAGCGGTGACTCCAGCGACTCAAATCTCCCCGTCCCTGGCTTTTCTGCAAGCCCACCGCCCTGCCGCCCGGCCCTGCGACGGAAACCTCGCAAGAGACCCAAGGAGGAAAAGGGGTCCTTGGATAATCGCCCATTCATGAGAAACTGCAGACGCCATCGTGAAATAACCAAACCAGTTAGCCCCTGCAGCTCGAGGAAACCAAAGCCCTGGGGCAGAAACGCACCCACGTCAGAACTGCCAGGGGAAGGGAGGAAGGACGTGCCATTTCTGTCCTCACAGCAGTGTGCCTTGCTGGTGTGGTACAGGTTTCGAGGGCAGGAAAAAGCACCCACAGGAAAGGAAAAACCACAGCTCAAAGACAGAGACGTCAGAGGTCACAGAACGGGACGCCCAACCTCCCAAGCAGTGAAGACACAGCACCATGGTGGGAGCGTGTGGGGTGGACGCCCACAGGGAGACGGCTTTGAAAAGAAACCACCAAGACTCCTGAATGTAAACACTGGAGATATTTCAGGACTAGATCGGGAGGTGTCTGCACACGGCCATTATGATCAGTACCATCTTCATCACTATCATCTTCATCTTCATCATGTTCATAATACTCTTCACCATCAACACCATCACCATTAACACCACCCTCTCCACTGTCTTCATCTCCATTGTCATCATCATCACCATCACCACCCCCAGTTTCTCTACCATCACCTCCACCACCATCACCTCCATCCCCATCACCTCCATCACCTCCACCATCATCTTCATCTTTTTTCATCACCATCACCACCGTCAACTTCATCATCTCACTGCCATTGTTTTCCTCATCCTCAGCACCATCATCTTCACCATCATCGTCGTCTTCCTCCTTGTCATTACTTACAACACCGTTATCATCCCGACAGTTCACTCTGCCAGTCACAGTCAAGAAAAAACCCCTGCCTTACAGTAAAGCCCCTGCCGCTCAGAGAAACAGTGACTTGTCTGAAGCAAGGCCAAGAGGAGCAGAGTCAGGAGTCCAGCTCAGGCTCGTTTTTCGCAAGCCGTCACTGGGATCCCCGCAGAGAGAAGGAGCGTGGTGGTTCCCAATCAGCCAGACCGAGGTCAATATCCAACTGCCACTCAGAGGGTCGTCTTCACCACGCCGTGTGAGTGGATGCGTTTCTTTACTGGGTGTTGCTTCCATGCAAGAGACACAGGGAGGGAAGAGACCCTTCCCTGTAGGGTCCAGTGTGGGAAGCAGAAGACAGGAAGGCCCCAGGACCCCAGGGGCTCCCGTCTGATTCTCTGACTTGGGCCACCTGCTCTCTGCAGTGAGGACCAGAGATTCTGCATGGACACCCTCCCCCATTGTTGGCTGAAAGGAGCTCGTTCCTACATGCACAGATGGGTGAATGTGGGAGGCAGTGGCCTCCTTCCATCAAACACTTAGCGAGGACCTACTGTGTTCACAGGATTGGCACTGACCAAGGGAGACTGAAAGAGGCTCACTAAAAGGCCTTCCTGGAAGGGGACAAGAGGGGATGGGAGAAAGACCATGCACTGTGCTGGGAACAGGCACCAGGAGGCAACAGGCCCCTGCAACAGTCATGCTGACGGTGGAGGAGGAAGAGGAGGAAACACGCCCACCGTGCCGGGCACAGCGCCCCGTTTTACACACACGTCATCTTACTTCATCCTCAAAATGACCTGTGAGTGAGGCAGGAACTGCTCTGATCCCCTTGAACAGATGAGAAAAACAAGGTTACCAGCTCTCACAAAGTCACTCTTTAAACATCCCTGTAGAAGGCGAGAGCCCTTTAGGGCTTCTTCCCCAGCAGCGGCCTGGACCACACTCCTGGCCCAGGTGAGCCCACTGTGTTCTCCACTTTGGTGCTCCCCCAGTCTGCACAGCGCATGGACTCCCCTCGGTGTGAATCCCCTGCAGGTCCCTTGGTGGGGATCTGAGTCGTGGACATTCCTCCTGCTTTGTTGGTTTTCTCATCCTCATGCAATCTGGGTCCCGGCAGGGCCCACCCCCGGACAGGCAGACCTCCTCGTCCCCAGAAGGCCCTGCTGAGTACCTGGCAGGCAGGTATCCAAACCAAGTGTGATGCAACCATGGCAAAAAAATCACACGTTGCCCATGACAAAAAAGGTGCAATTAAAATTTAAAATATCAGATCCACGTGTCCAGAATCTTTAAAAGCGTCATGTGTGGCTTATTCCTAAATTTTTGAACAAAGTGAATATAATTACCTTCGCTCTCCCTCGGACCAGAAACTCTGCGACTTGAAATTTTACATGAAAGAGAGAAACCCCTAACCTGGGCCTGCTCCTTCTTTCCACATGGGCCGGGCCAGTAAGGGGAGAATCGATACAAACACACTGACTTTTGTCCACAGTCGCGCCCTCTGCTCCCGGCCCGCGGGGATGCTGGAGCCGCAGGATGGGACCACCGCACCATTCGGACGTCCTGGCCCCCGAGCGTCCCGCAGCTGCGTTACCACTGCCGTCCCGCTCATTCATGAGATGCCGGTACTTCTTGATCTACGGGGAGGACCTTGAGATTTTAGCGGTGATACTGAGAAACCTGCAGCCCCTCGAAGTCACTTCAGGCTGGGCGGGCGGTCTGGGGCTCGCGTAGGCAGGTGAGAGGGAAGGTCCTTGTCTTCCCGCTGGGGCGCTTTCTTGGATGTCACATGGTTTCTGGTCCTACGTCGGGAAGGCAGGTCTCATTTCCGCCCCACAGAGGAAGCACCTGTGGGCGGCCTCTACCCCTCAATGATTTGGGGCTTCAGAGCCCCCGGGGGGTGGGGGGTGGAAATCCCAGCAAATGACACTTCTGCCCATCACCGGTTCATTCTGCAGGGTTGGAGCGCCTACTATGTGCCAGGCACGGGGCAAAGAGCAGAGAGCAAACAGACACCTCTCACCAAAGCGCATCCCCCCTCGTGGAGGAAAACAGACAGCAAACCAGGCAGGAGGGCAGTGTCGTGAGCACTGTGCGGCCACAGGTGGTCACGCCGCAGAGAACGCGGGGGGGCGGGGGCCGAGGACCGCCCGCTCCAGACAGCTGGTATCCGGAGAGGGGGCGCGGAAGGTCAGGGCACTGCAGGCCTGTGACTGTGAATGTGCCTGGACACAGGGGGCGTGTCAGGCCAAGGTCACTCACCGCGAGGGGGTGGGGCATCAGGGAGCGGGGACAGGCAAGGCAGTGGGGAGGGCTGGGTGGAGACAGTATACTTTTTTCCTGATAGCTTCATTGAAATGTAATTTATATACCGTCAAGTTCACCTGCTTGAGGTGTACCATGCAAGGATTTTAGTACGCTTCCAACGCTGTGCCCATCACCACTCTAGTTCCAGAACATTTTCACCACCCCATAAAGAAACCCCACACACGTCAGGAGTCACACCCCATCTCCCCAGAACCCAGCTTGGGCAGACATTAGTCTACCTTCTGCCCCTGTGGATTGGCAGTGGGTCCAGCATGACTCCCTGCTGTCACTCTGCAAGCCTCACCCACGCTTTCATGGGTCAGGATGCCATTCCTTTTTCACAACCAAATAATATTCCCTCGTGTGGATGTACCACATTTGTTTATCTGTTCGCCCTTTGACAGGTGTCTGGTGGTCTCCACTGGTTGGAAGCCACGGAAGGAAGGTGGCTCTGATCACCACACAGCCCAGAGCAGCTGTCCCCACTTTCCTGTCACAAAGCCGGGCCCTCAGTGCCCCAGGCCTCTGCCACCCATCACACACCACGGACACACACCAGCCACTGACCTGGCCCCTGCACTGAAGTACTTCCGAGCTGCACTGCTCTGCAATGAAAGCCACTGGGCCGTGTCCCTCTGGCTGGTCATCTGGCCACCTGGGCAGTGAGCAGCGCTGCTGGGGTCTCAGTAAGCCAGAGCGTGTGAGCGCTCCCTGCAGCCCACACAGCTGCAGCTCTGCAATGTCGAGGTGGAGGCTGACAGCCTGGGTTTGCCAGACATCCAGGAAAGAGACCCTCGTGGGTTCCCCGGGTGTGCGGGTGCATGTGTGTGTGACTGAGATGCTGGCTGCAACTACTTTCAATTCTTTTCTTTCTTTTCTTTGCTGAAGTGCCTCTAAAAATAATTCTCAGACAGCCAAGCAGGCAGTCAACACCCAGGCAGTTTCTTCAGAGGGTAAGAGCACGCCCTTTACAAACAAACAAAGTCAGGCTTGGTCCAAAAATACAGACTCCCGTCGGGGGCAGGGGCGGCTGAGGCTTTGTTTCCAGATAAGGCCACCTGTATGAGGGCCAGGTTCCCCGCAGCCTCCCAACCCTGAGCACCAGTGTGTCAGTCTTTGCCTGCCTGATTGGTGAAATGATCGGGCAGGATTTTATCTTGCATTTAAGTGAATGTGAGTGAGTACCTTTAAAATGTTCCTCACCATCTAAAATCCTTTTTCTCCATTGGCTGCTTGTTGGCAAAATTCAGCTACAAATTTCCATAATTTGGTTCAACACCCTCTTCCCCACCAATCTGAGCCCTTGGTCTTCGTCTCATTGATTTTAAAGAGCTCTTTATTTATTAAGGAAAACTGCCAAATACAGTAAGAACATATACCCCAGGATTTTATTTTTTTCCTATGAAATTTAAATGGCAATGCTTTCGTACAGTCAAACATAACTGTCTTTTCTCATATGGCTTCTGGACACATGAATTTTTCAGATAAAATATGAAACTTCAAAGCAGTTATTTGCTTCCAGCAGACCACTTCAGGCAGAGCCCAAGAACCTCAGGGCTGTACACCCTCCCTCTCCTCTGCTACATAACTGCTCAGGGAGAAGGATGAAGGGGACAGCCTAATCCTGCCTGGTGGACGTAAATCTTCAACCTTACAGCCAGTACAAATGTGCCCCACAAACAAGTTATTTGGAAATGACATATAGGAAGGCAATGCCAGAAACGGTTATTTCACACATCTCACTGCACTTCACAGCGGGCGGCAGCTGGGTCCTCCGGATGCTTAAGGATTACCCAGATGAAAAGCCGTAAGAAGGAACATGTCTTGCATTTATCCGTGCCCTCGGACCACCTAAAACCCAATAAATTTCTCCTCCTAGAAAACGAAAAACAACTCATTTTGAGCCCCTGACTGACATGACCTAGGAGAGAAACACCTCTGTCCTGTGGAATCTCACCCCGAATACTCTCAGACAGCAGGTGCGCCCCCCGCCAGGCAGTAACATAGGGTCTCCAGTGACCCCCTTGGCCTCCTCCACGACACCTTCTGGGTCAAGGAGGAATTTAATTCTACGGAGGGTGTTAATTCTAAGGAGGAGTTTAATTCCAGGGAGGGCAATTTTAATGCTCATTACATCTCCTTGTACTGAATCTCTGGGAAAACAGTCACCTGCTTCATCTGCTTTATATATAGAGACACTCCCATGCCCCTGCCCCATTTGAGTCACCAAAACTCCACGTCCTCCGAGCTGGCCAGACAACACGTGTGCTGTTCTGAAGAATTCCGGGAGATTCTGAAGCCACACCGTACATTTGGGAGGAAATCGTGTATTTTTAAGAATAACCCTTTCTTTTTCTAAGCAAGCTTCCTGTTACACGTGCAGTTTTGCAGCAGTGAGCCAGTATAGTTCACAACATGTCACTCATTCATTTGTTCATCCAATAGATATTCACAGAAACCTACCATGAACTCAACTTCGGGCTAAACGCTTCCTAAAACAGATCACTTACGTGGAGAAGTCTGTGGAGAGTAACTGTTAATTACCTGCCTAAAGAAAGATTCCGTGAGGGAAGTGCAAAGGCGTTGCCTCATCCCATCGCTGTATTTGTCGCCTAAAGTTAGTGTCTGAAAAGAGAAGGGACAAACAAAGTCACACCTGGTTCCACTCAACGTGGTTTCTCTCCAGGCTCTGCCTGTGCACAGACGTCCCTGACTCACGATGGTTCAACTCAGGGTTTTATGATGGTGCAGAAGTGATATGCATTCAGGAGAATGCACTGTACATAGAGTTTTGAGTTGTGACCATCTCCCAGGCTGGCGAGATGCGGAACCATCCTCTCTCGAGCTGCAGGGGAGCGGCAGCCACGGCTCTGTCAGCCCCACCACCAGGAGGGTGAACAAGCAGCTCGCTCACGGCCACCCTGGACCCTGACCGCACCCCGCGATGCACTCTCGGTACAGCGCCCTGGAGCACTTTCTTAGAAAGCAGGCTTTGTCAGGCGATCCGGCCTGACTGCAGGCCGGTGTGAAGCGTTCTGGGCATGCTGAAGGCGGACGAGGCTGAGCTATGATGTTTGGTCGGTCAGACGTGTTCGATGCACTTTTTTACTTAGAATAGTTTCAACGTACAGTGTCTGTCAGGACAGCCCCACCGTGAGCAGAGGGAAAGCAGTGCTGGGAGTGGCAATTCCTCACCTCCCGGCGGTGAGGACCGGTGCCGCTGTCACCAGGGAGGGCGAGAAGGGTGGGAACGGGGCGCGGGGCTGACGTGGCCACCTGGACTGGGCCCAGCGGGAAACAGAGCTCAAACCCGTTTGATGAAGCATCCGGGACAAGAGCGCAAGCTGTGTGCAGGCCCCCACTCCGTTTCCCACCCCACACGGCGGCGGCGTGGGGCAGCCCTCCAGCACTTCGGGAGGCCTCCCCGGGGCCGCAGAACTCCCACAGGGATGAGCCCACAACACGCCTGTGGACAGAGCACACGGGCGAGCCTTCCGCGCACCGGGGCTCCTGGCTCCGCACTTATGCCAGGAGCCCCAGCCCCATCCCCGCAGCCCGCTCCCCGCCGCTCCCCCTGAAGTCTTCCCGCTCCCCAAACACACACCACCCCCCTCTGACACCCTCCAGAGGGGTATGCACACTGTCTTGACTTCTCTCTCTACCTTTTGTCAGAAAAATGAGAAATTCTGAGGCCCTGCTACACATGGGCGAGGGAACACCACCAGAATTTAAAACAGCAGCTTCACACCAGAAAGGTGTGAAAAATACAGAAATATGTCTGGATTCGCCCCCGGCTGCGGAGATAGGGTTTGGGGAGGTTGGGTTCCTCTGAACACTTTCAACACACTTTCTACACGAAAAGGTTTAGCCTCAGACCATTTTCTCAAGGACCACTTACTTCCCCGTGGCCCACAGGGGAGACTGAGGAACACTGTTCTACACAGAGGCCGGGGTAAGCACCCCCGGGGGTCACGCCATGCCAGGCTCTGTGCGAAGCCCCTGACCCGCATCATCTCACTTAAGCTCCGCGGGAGCCCCGCGAGGAAGGCGTGCCGCCGTGACGGCAGAGCCGAGGCCGGCGAGGACTGCACCTGCCCGGGGTCTCTCAGGCCAGGAGTCGCTCCCAGAGACTGAGGGTGTTTCCTCCACACTTGAGAGGGATGCCGGGCGACGGCCCAAAGCGCTGTTGTGCACTTCCGTGACGGGCGCCTCCCAGGGGCTCCGTGTCCGGGGTTCTCTCACGGGTTGAGCATCTGCCGTTGCCTGGTCTCTGCGTGGGGGACGTGCAGACGGCCGGACGGCCGCGGCTGGCGACCTTGGGGTGAATAAGGGTAACTCTTTCTGGGTGCACAGGACTCTTCCTCTGTGCCCTTTCATAGTCACGCTGAGCAGTGTCCTGGGTTAAACAGGGCCCACCCCCCTTCATGTCCACCTGGAACCTCAGAATGTGCCCTTATTTGGAACTAGGGTCTTTGCAGACATAGTCAGGTCGACA